TAGCAGCTGCACTAGCAAAGTGCACAGTATGTTCGCCTTTAGCAAATCAATACCTCACAGTTGAGTGGGGATTATTTTGTGTAGGTAGTCTATGCTTATTGTAGGTTGTTGTCTTTTATTATGTGGATTTCATTAAACATTTTTTCACAGCACAAATTTATGAGCAGTATTTCACTTTAACTATTCTTTATAATTATATGTTACTATTGCCAAGTTGGTGCAGTCATCACTGGGAGTGGATAGGACCGGTCAGCAATAAAAATCTTTTCAATATTTCTAACCCTTCCTCATGCTGCTGATCAAGAAATTTTAATGAATATATGTTTTACTAATGGTTACATGACAATATTATATGCTTATGTGTTAATGATAGTATAATAAACGCATGTTACAGTCACTATGTAGAAGGTGTTATTAGAAAAATGTCATTGTAATGTGTTGTTAGAATGTGATTGGAAAGTTGTGTTGCGAGCTATGGACAGACAACCAGTCTGTGAAGCTATTAATATTATTATTATAATACAGGATTCAATCTAATACTCTAAATACAATCTAATAGGGTGTAGTGAGGCTTTTCAGACCATGGGTCATGGTTAAGCTTATAACGTGTTCCATAATAGCAGAAAACAATGGGGGAGATTTACTAAAACTGGTGCAAAAAGAATCAGGTGCAGCTGTGCATGGTAGCCAATCAGCTTCTAACTTCAGCTTGTTCAATGAAGCTTTGACAATAAGCCCTGGTTCACACTGCCGCAATTTCAGGTCCGATTTGGGAATTGAAATCATACCTGAAATCGAATGTAATTAATGTGAATGTGAGTGTCTTAACATACACAATTTTCTGCAGCGCAATTTCTAAGGTATATCTTGTATTACTATTTCTGCAGTTTGTTGCGATTTTACATATAGACTACAATAGAAATTGCACTGCAAAGCGCAATGGTAAATACAAGAAATCGTTGGGAAATCTTCAGAAAACGTGGTAAAAATCGCAAACAAAACGCGCAATTTTAAATTGCATCCAGTGTGAACCAAGCCTTAAACTTACAAGCTGATTGGTTACTATGCACAGCTGCACCGGATTCTGTGTGTACCAGTTTCAATAAATCTCTCCCAGTGTTTCTTGTCATTGTTGAAGTGTGGCTTATACAAATTTTTAATGAGTTCACATGTGAGATGTTTTAGGCAATCCTTCATGACAAAATCCAAGATTGGGGTTTTAAAAACGCTCCCCTTGATGAAGACATCATATCTTAGCTTAAAGTATATGTGAACCCTCACCTTGTAAAACAACCCAATCAGTTTAAAATAGGAATGAAAGGCAAAACATTAGTGTGTGTGTGTGTATGTATATCATTTTAAATACCTTTTTATTTTTATAAGTGATCACATGCATGAGGGGCTTACAGAGGTGGGGTGGAGAAATAGCAGGACACTGATCTGATCTTCCCAGCGAATAGCTGTGCTGATGGGGGGGTGTCAGCAGGAGTTTTTCATGTTGGAGGACAAGCTCTCCCAGCACAGCCAGAAAACTGACCATGCTAAGATTAATGTGCTTTCATGCCTAGCGTGATCAATTTGGAAACGGGGACTGACAGGAACACCAGGTATTTCACACATAGGAAGAAATACAATGAGAACAGCTCATTTTTTAACACTAGTACTGTTCATGGTACAATAGACACATATCAGGAAAATGAAATGTTGGGGTTATATTCTTTAACAGTTGAATTGTCAAGATATCCATTCTAATTTCTAAAACGTCACTTTTACTGTGTAAATCTTTTCTTCTAAATGGTGATTTCTTTATCACTAGAGAGAATGTCCCCAATAATCACATATGAATAAACACATATGACAGTGAAAACCCTGTCAGAGGCTACAGCCGTTCCCTGCAAAGGAAACCAAATGTTGCCAGGAGTTGCATTGTAAGCACTCAGTTCCTTGCCTGATGGAAATGTTCTTACTCTATATCCGCATTTCTTGTATAAATTGTAATGTGTATTGTCATATGTTACCTGCTTTTTGAATAGAAAATGTTGGAATAGGTGTATGTGTGAAGTTAAGTACCCAGGAACGTTTACATTAATTCATGGTGTGATATCAGATACATTAAACGGTTTTCCCTAAAATCTAAATATATTTAGTGGTATTGCTTTTATCTCAAATGCAAAGTAAATTACATTTCAGAGTTATTGATTGTTACATTCTGTTCTTGTCTGGCAGGCTGACTTGAAATCACACAGTCAGGGAGCACACTTGCACCAATTGCTCTGAGACACCCTTTGTTAGTAAATGGATTTGGCTAAGCTTCTGCTTCTTTTACACAATGCATCAGGGAGGAAGCTGGAGATGGCAAATAACTGTTTAGGACATGAAAGAATAAAAGAAACAAGAGGCTAGAGGGCAGCAATCATACACGAGAGGTAACCACTGCTGCTTTCTATTTGAAGAGATGTTTGTATGGAAATGTATGTTATCCCCTTTGGCTGTCTTGCTGGGGACTGTACTGCAGTACACATGCATCACTCTGAGAAGGTATCAAACTTTTGGTGTATTTATATGTTTTTTATAACTTGGCAGTTTCCACAGCACTTAATAATATTATGTTTCACACATAGTCTTTATTTGAATTGGATACATTATTGTTTCACTTTTGTTTTAAAGAGAAAATAACCACCAAATTGATCTGCTGTCATGAGTTATAAATTTGAATGCATAATATTTTGTTCCATTATAGATATGTATTCTTGTTCACAACTGAGGGTGCCAAAATGGTGTAATTTATAAAGGGAGAAATATATATAATTAAGGGGGTATCTTGTCCCAAATTTTAAGGTAAATCAGTCAGAAACCTGGACAAATCAGATTGAGCCTACAATGTCAAGCAAAGTAGAAACTACAAACCAGAAATGAGTTCCAGAGATATAGGAAGCCAAAGTTCTATACAAATTGTTACTTTCCCTGTAACCTTCACCCTCACCTACCTGCTGAGCCCCATTGGGTAGTGAGACTGCCAATCGCACTTAAAGTGGTATTAAACCCAAAACAAAAAATATAATATACTGCAGCTTACCAATCCTTAGATAGTTGAACACCAGCATTATCAGTCTAGGGGGAGGGTAGTGTTAGATGGACTAGACCCCAAAGGTGTCAATACTTAATGAGGAGCGGGGGACAAACTTCCCCTTTTGGGTGGAGCTCCGCTTTAAATGGTTTTGAGGCTGCTTACTGCAATGTTTAGATCAGGGGTGTCCAACCTTTTGACCTTCCTGGACCACATTGGAAGAAGTGGATTTGTCTTGGGCCACACATATAATACACCAACAATAACGATAGCTGATGAGCAGAAAACGTTGGGCAGATCACAAATTAATGATCACTGATATAGATAATGTACCTATCTGAGTAATAAAACTTCATTTTTTTGTAATATTTTTTACTATAAGTAAAAGAGGGCAACATAAAACGAATGCAATATTTGACATGGTTTTTGATAAACTAATACAACACCTGGTTGGAGTAGCAATTTTCAAATAATTCTCCCGGTGCTCATCAGATATTTTGGTTCTAATTTTGCCCTTCATGTGGTCCATCCTTGAAAACAGGTTTTTGCAAATATAGGTGCTGCCGAAAACTGATGACATGAATAAGGAGTGATTGTGAAGAGTGGGAGATATTTCTTTGGGAAGATTAAACTTAGAAAAGGCCAGTAAAGAGACCCTATCAAATATTTCTTTGGCCGCATGTGTCCACTAGGTGTAAACTTATTTTTACAAATAATTCCCTGGGGAAAAAAAAATCAACATTTTTAAGTAAGTTTACGATTTTGCGTTGTGCCGCATTCATAGCCGTCTTGGGCCACATGTAGCCCATGGGCCACAGGTTGGACACCCCTGGTTTAGACTATGCTGCCCTGCTCCTGGGAAACAGAAGGGGAAGGGTGATGAAGTTAGATGTTGGGAACACCAGGCACAATCTATGAGGTACTTGCTCCTGACCTGAACCCTGAGCTCTGGGCATTACTTATTCCTGACCTCAGCACTCTGTGTGTTACTTACTACTTTCTCTAGTACTTTGTGTGTTTCTTAAAGTGATTCGAAACTCTGGTTTAAAAATCAAATCTATTAAGTATGTATCCTTATTGTATAAAAGTCCTTTCTATTGCTCTCAGCTGCCTCCTTTTTTTTTTTGCTGCTGTGATCCAATTGCCTGTTAGGGAGTGGCTACATTCATTCCCCTTGGCTCCACTGTTTGTATGAGTGTAGCCACCCTATCTTCCTAACTCCCATAGGACCTATTCACTCTGGGATTTGTAGTGCGCATAGAGCAGTGCATATGACTGCAACTAACATGCACTGCTTGTTCAAATAGAAGTAAGAGGGAAAGAAGAGGTTTGGGAGCTCACAGAGGATGTTACAAGGAAGCAAAAACACAGTAACAAAGTATTTAATGAAAAATAGATTACAGGGCCATTAAGTAGTGGATCTGTATGGATAATATTTGGAGAATCAGGATCTCATTTAGTGTCACCCTAGCGGTATGATTATTTCTGATTTTTGGTGCTGAAAGCAGTACCATTATTCTGCATGGAAATATGTAGTTTTTTTTATTGTAGGCTGTAATATTTAGGAATAACTCACTGAAATCTGTCCGAACAAGAGTCTAGTAAACATCCCGGGTATGATAAAATTTGAAACACAAAATCATAAATTATAATTTAATAAATAATCATAAAAAATAATAATATTATATTTAATTCAATAATATAATCAAACCAAAAACACTGAAATTGGAAATATAGCGCCAAGTTCGCACATTGCTGAGCAAAGTCGCAAAATTGTTTTCAGTGTCTGATGACGAATTTCCCCACAAATCATTATCACTCAATTCTGCAAGTGGTTCTGATTTACTATCGCTGTTCTCTAGCTGATCTAAACCCGCTTTTGACTTAAAGGGACGCTTTTTGGACGCCGTGGACTTTTCTAAATTTGCAGGCAGAAAGAACAGGAAAAATGCAGACGGGACAGGACAGAGCACTAGGGACAAAATGTATGTGAAATGGGTTGAAACAGCAATGTTTTACTATGAAAAATCGTTTTGAAAAAAATGACAGTTTGTTTAAATTTTCAAATTTCCCGCCGGCGCCCGTACGTCCTGGCGTCACAGGGACCGGAACACAGGAGCCGGATGCCGGCATCTGCCGGAGGAGATGGCCGGGGACGCTGCAGGGGACACACTGCGGGAGCGAAGGACAAGGTAAGTGCTGCAGGGACTCCCTATGCAGCGCTGCATGGTAAGCCCGAGTGCAGCTCGGGGTTACCGCTTTTGGTATAGAAATTTTACCCTGAGCTACACTCGGGAATACCGTTAGGGAGGTTAAAGTGGTAGTAAAGTCACTTTTTATATTTTTACCTACAGGTAAGCTTATAATAAAACTTACCTGTAGGTAAAATTAATATCTCCTAAACGTTCACCGGAGCAGCAGCCGGTGTCAATACTATCGCATGCACTCTGAAGGAACGTCATACCCGTGCCGTTACTTCAGAGCTGTGTGCTGTGGCCGAAACCCCCATGCGCATGCGCAGGAGTAATGTAATTGGCGGCTTAGCCATCCAGGCAGCCGCAGTATGAAACCTGGAAGGAAGACTGGGTGAAGATGGAAATCTTCTTCAGTAGTGACAGTGTGCTCCTGGAGGGCTTCATTCTAAGGTACGGATTTCATAATGTGCGTGTATGCTACACAGGCTAGCACATGATATTACTTTGCAGCAAAAAACTTTTTTTTTTTTTTTTTTTTTTGTTTGCAAATGAAATTACTACCACTTTAAATCCTAACCCCTGTCCTCTGTGCGTTACTTCTGTTTTGTGTACTCTGTGCATTACTTAATCTTGACCCCTGCACTCTATGCTTTACACTCTTGACTCATAGCAAGATAGGCTCAGGTTTTATTTAACCATACTCCTTTAGGCCCAGTTCACTGTTACTGCAATATGGGCATACCCACAATTCACAGTCGCATGCACTCATGGTAACCACAAATCTCTGACCAGTTATTTAAGGGCATGTCAAAAGTGAGGGCATAAATACAACAGCTACAAACTAGAAAAGCTACAATTTCTGGGGAAATTGTGTGAAGTGTTCTTGCCTCCACCAGTAGTCTACAACTGGAGTGGGCGGAGTAACTGGGTGGAGTGGCTTGTCACTCTGCTGCCTGCTCACACACCTGGGTTCCTATGGCAACTCACTCTACAGCAAGGGCAGAGAAGAGCGGTTAAAAACAAACTACTCCAACTTGCTCACTTCACTGGCGGTTGCCATCTTCAAACGGTTGTAGTTTATAAACTATAAATCCTACACCAAAGAACTTTATATTGTGAGAATCACAAGACACAGCCCTACATTTTGATGCATAGCATGTTTCTGAAATATTAAAAATGAAGGCACAGTCGCAGTTTAGAAATTGCCCTTCAAATTTGAGGTGGCTAGAGTGGAGTTACAATGAATGTCAATGGGCGGCGTGTGTTGCAAACAAATGGTCATATTGTGAAAACTATCAGGACTATGGCTTAGCCGTGGACATTTTTAGTGGCAGCAGGGATAGCTGAACGTTTTGATATAAGATTTGTGTAGGTGAGCTTGAAAATGAGGGAGTGATGGCAGTTTAGAAATCATGTCCTGATTTTTCAGCTCACACTCTAGCTTTTGTCGGCTCCCACTCTAGTTTTGAACATTTTGCCATTCATTCCTATGGGACCAATTTCACCACAAAAACGCTGATATTTCGTGAACCATTTGGTGAAACATTCCACAAAGTAATAGCACACCAATCGGGAACAATCCGCACGTTTCGGTATATTACTGTCTATGTAGTGTAAAAACTGTGGGAGGAGTTAGGGGGGTAAATTTGGCTATAATAATAAGAATATATCTGTGAGATAACAGTAAGTGGTCTGCCATGCAAGAACACTTAATGAGAGTTTGGCTTTGTGGGTATGGTTAAAAGTGAACATATTCAGTAGGACGTCCCCAGATTTCATTTTGAAACCCTGGTATCCTTACTGTGATGCAAGCCTGCAAAGTGACTTATCACTCTTACAGTTCTGCTAAAACCACCCACAGACTGCCAAATACTTAAAGAATTCAGTTCAACTTCTAACCTATACAGCTTGGTCCCTCCATACATTTCTTTTCTGATTCGCAGATAACATCCCAAAGGCAGCTTCCACGTGTTCTTTGCACATGACCGTTTCCTCTCTTTCACTTTTCTCACGGTCCTGCATTCCTGTACCCAGAATGTCTCATGAGCCTCTCCTCTTTTTTGGAATTATCCCCTGTACAAAGCTCTGCACGCTCCAACCCTTAAAACCTTCAAGTGCGCTCTTAAAACCTACTTCACCTAAAGTGACTGATCCATCATTGCTTTCTCATCTGAAAAGGCACACACTGGGGTTGATTGACTAAAAGTAGAGAGTGCAAAATCTGGTGCAGCTGTGCATGGCAGCCAATCAACTTCTAACTTCAACTGGTAAAATTAAGCTTTGACAAAAATGTGGAAGCTGATTGGTTTCCCTGCAGAGCTGCATCAGATTTTGAACTCTCCTATTTTAGTAAATTACCCCCCACTGTCTCTTCATACACAGCTTACGCTTTCTTCTTTTGTTCACCCTCTATTATTCCAAATTGTAACCTGGTATGGGCAGGGCCCTCTCCTCTAATATTTTTTGGCAGATTTTGGTAAACTGTATGTACTTGTCTGTGAAATATATTACTTGCTGAAGATTATACGATATACAACGCATGCTTATTGGGAAGAATCTGGTGAGAATATATGAAGATCTGTGAAGGATAGTCGTGCACTGTTTTGTGCATATTACTTGCTACGTTACCTGTATTACCATCCTTATTACTTTGTATATTGCTGGGACAGAGAATGGCGCAATAATATACAATATATGCCCTTGTGGACTGCCACGTTACTGCAGCAGGGCGGCATAGCTGCGCTGGATCATGTACATGTACGTAATCCAGCATTTCTGGGTAGGGGGCGCGCACACCTGCCTACCTGTCTGTGCTGTCATTCGCTACAGCACAAGTCAGCTAGCAGGTTCCAGCCAATGATTTATGGCTGGGACCCGCTGATCAGTTTAGCGAATGACAGTACGTGCTCTTTATTTACTACCAACACAGGACTCTGTACACAGAGCAGTGATATGGCTGTGCTTTCTACCTGCAAAGCAGAGAAAACACAACCACATCTAATAGTAAATGCAGCACACATTACACATTGTTAGGCAAACAGTTAACCATTTGATTGCCCCTAGATGTTAACCCCTTCCCAGCTAGTGTCATTAGTACAATGAGAGTGTATAGTATTATCACTGGTCACTGTATTAGTGTCACTGGAGATGTCAGTGTCAGTTGTTTCCCACCCAGTGTAGTTATTGTCAGATTGCCCGCCACACTATCACATTCGCACTATAAGTCACTGATCACAGCCATTAGTAGTATAAAAAATAAATAAAAAAAAAAAAATTCTCTTATATATACCATTGTTTGTAGATGCTGTAAATGGAAACCAATTAATGTACACTTATTGGGATCATTTTGGCTTAAATTTATGAAGAAATGTTTTTTTTTATTCTTTTTATTGGACATGTTTCATAGCAGAAAGTAAAAAATATTGTTTTGGGTTTTTTTTTTTTTAAATTATCAGTCTTTTTTTTCATTTATGTAATAAAAATATAAAAAAACAAGTGGTGATCACCAAAAGAAAACTCTATTTGTGTGATTAAAATATATAACTTACATTTGGTTATAGTGTTATATGATCGAGCAATTGCCAGTTAAAGTAGCACAGTGACAAATAGCAGAAAATGGCCTGTTCATGAAGGGGGTAAAACCTTCCGTAGCTTAAATGGAGATATATATATATATATATATATACATACATACATATACCTACATTGCATGGACAGCTTAGCCTATTGGTCCCTCGGATGAGGAGATTTCTTTGCCCCTTTGGTTAAACTGTGCCCCATTCAGGTCTCCTGTCAGCACATGATTGCAATGACTGGCAGGGAATAGGATCGCTTACACTACTTACTTCATTTGCTGGGCTCTGGATTAGATGATGTGATCAGTCAGAGCCTTGCAAAGGAAGTGAGTAGTGTAGCTTCCTCTGCTCGAGCTCTTTGTTTACATGTGTGACAGCGAGTTTGTGCTGACTAGTGGTCTTAAAGAGCAAATCTCTTTCTTTCTCGTCCATTGATGGATACGGGAAGTCTATAGCCTTCTGGTTATACTGCCCCCACAAAAAGATTAGAAACTGGCAAACAAGAAAACTGTATGCCAGCCCTGGTTCTAACCCCTGCTATGAGCATACTTTAGTTTTTTCCTAGTGCCCTGGAAGGTTGGACACCTTTTCTTCAACTCTAGTGCTGTAAATACCATCTACTTTTTAAAATTGAATCAAGGTTCATTTATGACAACTGCTGGTGGTTTATCCATCAACTCAGATCTATCAGGCGTGGTTGTCCTCAACCTAGCTTTTGGACTGCATTTCAACCTGGCCCAGCTGAACTGAACAGGAGCTCTTTGCCATACTCAAGTCATTTATGAAACACTTTCGAGGTCCAGAAACTCTGGCAATGCCTCTGTGCTTGTCTTTTATCGGAAGATGTTTTTGTGAGTCAGTCATTTGGACTGCACACTGAGAGCTCCCTCATTTTTATTGGTTTCAGTGCGCCATTACTTTTTGTTTCCTGAGAGATTTACGTTGGAAGAGGTTAACGATGTGGGACAAATTACTGACATTATTCTCTTCAGTGGAGGTTTGCACTCATGCAGTCCACGTTCTCTTTCACCAAACGCTGCAAAGAACCACATGGAACTAATTCTTTCCTGCTGCCTGCTTACAGTGACTTTGGTCACCTTTGGCCACCTGACCCTCCAGTCAAGAAGCTGTCCAGGTTTTGTGGGTCTTTACCTTTAACCTTGAGTCCATGTGTTGCACACTACACTGTGCCTAAAACATATATAGGGAGAGGGTGGGGACAGGCCCGTGCCCTGCTCTACCAGAGGGAAGGTAGTTGGGGCAGTCCTGTGTCTACTGTACTAGGTGACCCTAACATGCTCTCCACTAACAGATCAAGGACAGCTTGCAGCATGCCCCCTGATAGTGTTGCTGTCTGTAGCCTGGAATCACACATTGCCCCTGAGTCTCTTCCCTCATTGGGGTCCTCTGTGGCTCTTTAAGGTGTGGCTGGCTCCTCTGCCTTTTCAGCTGAAGTTTTTGCCATAGGTAATGCCCAAAATAACCCAGTTGTTTTCAGCCTCTG